CCAACTGAACTACATCCCAGGCTTGCAATGTGGTCTTTAAAGCCCATACCACAATTGGAATCTGTTTCGGCCCAACATGCTCAGAAACCAAGGAGAGGATCTCTCAGAGTATAAGTAACTATTGTGTTGTTCCTGGGACTAAGTGTCACCAGGAACATAGGATCATTGGTTCTGAAGCCTGGAAAGGTGCAGGCAAGCCAGGATGGGTTGGTCGCCTTACATAAGAGTGTCCTGTGGGATTGTACCCGTCCCAGGTCATTGAAACTCTGGCTTTGCCACTTGGAGACTGGTGAACACATGCTGGCCCTCATGACCAGGAGTGCAGCCTGCTGAGGTGGCAGGAATGAGTGGAGCCTCTAGACCTGTAATTCTTGGTGACAGGAGACCGGGTCCCATACTACCTTTACTTTTTCTCTGGGATTTTCTTTTTCTTTCTGTGAAATGGGGGTGTGTAGCTGGGCATGGTGGCTCCCTGTTTGGGATTTCTACTCTGAACTGCAGCTTCTGGGTAAACTCCCTTCTTGGGTACAGGGTGGGAGTGGGGTGGGGTGATGTGTTGGTTTGTCTGCAGGATTCCAGTATGGTACTGTACTATTCTTTATTACGTCTATTTAGTGTGTATGCACCTGCAAGTGTACTCACACACGTGTGCCGCAGTACACAGCTGGAGGCCAGAGGACAGCTTGTACTCTAGCATCCGGTATTCAGGGGTTGACCTCAGGCAGAACAGCAAGTGCCTTATCCACTGAGCCATCTCGCCAGCCCCTTCCTGATGACCAGATCTGGGACTTTGGCTAGTTTTTGTACAGGACTATCCTCTGAGCCACTCTGCCAGCATCTTCATCAGACCAGCTGTTTCTGCTTGCAAACGATCATCACAGTTGGGTCTAGTGATGGTTGGTCCTTCATAGAAGAACCCTCACCTGAGTGTCTAGCCTGCCTTCCTAACTCGTTGTATGCAATCCTTTTCTAATTGCACATGGTCTGGAGGGGATGCTAGAAGATTTAGGCATGGCAGGACTCAGGGAGAGGGCCCCATCATCCATGCTCGGACCTTCCATAGAAGTCGCTTTAAGGTCACCCACACTCCTGCCCTATTGTTCTGGGTGTCAGCCCGAGTAAAGTCATCGGTTCCCAGAGTGACCTTGGTGGAATTCTATCTTGGTTTGTTTATGGGATGGCAAGAGAAGGGGGTAGACACTCTTTACATCTTCCCAAGAGAAGGAATTTTAGCTACAATTGGTAGCACAGGCAGGATACAACAAAACGAAGATCTGAGTTTGGGAAGAGCTGAAGCTAATGCTGTCTAAGGGTGGAGTGTCAGCGGAGGAAAATTTGACATGACTTCTTGTCCCTGTGTGGCATGAGGCAAGTGTGACACCAGCATGGCTGAAGCAGAAGGTTGTGAGATATGTAACTAAGGGGTGGCTGTCTAAGCAGGGGCTGTCTTGGGGAAACCTTGGTTGTAACATGAGAAGGCTGGGTCTGCTTGTTGGGGTTTTTGTCCTGCCCCGTTCCCCCAGATCTTTAGTCCCACAGAAAATAACACAGGAGATCTCTATAAGTTATAATGCTGATTGGTCCATTAGGTCAGGCTACTTATTAGCTAACTCTCACATCTTGATTAACCCATTTTTCTGATCTATGTTAGCCATGTGGCTCAGTACCTTTTTCAGTGGGGCAGCTCACATCCTGCTGCTTCAGTGGTGATCTGGGCAGGAGTGGGAGGAATCAACTTCCTCCTCCCCAGAATTCTCCTGCTCTCCTTGCATTATTTCCACTTCCTGTCTGGTTTCCCCGCCTACACCTCCTGCCTGGCCAATCAGCGTTTATTTAAAACATGATTGACAGAATACGAACAATTCTCCTGCACCACTTGGTGGTATGGAATGTCATACCTGCCTGATGGGTAGGGTCCGTGCTGGGAGTAGAGAGATGCTTGGAGAACAGCTGAAGGTCTAGCACAGACATTGCAAGCCCTGAGAGTAGCATACCAGGGGTGGAAGTACCAGCAAGCAGCTGCAGAGGTGACCTGGCCATGCTATGGGTTATAATCTGAGACCAAGGTGGCCGCATGGAGGGTGACTGCAGATGTAAGGAGGTGGATTGCAATGAGAAAAAGACATGGAACTCGCATCCTCTAGGTTGGCCTCCATTCTCTGGGATAGTTGAATAGAAGAGGTGGGGGGGGATGGTGGTATTTATTGGCTTTTCTTATAGCTGGGAGGCCAAAGTGGACAGAGAACCCAGATCACCTCTGTGTTAATGAGTTCTTCCCGGAACCACCAAACCTTGAATCTAGGAGTCAGGTAACAAAGAGGAAAGAAGTGAAACAGGTGTCAGAAGACAACTGGGGAGTTTGATCTTTGACACAGAGAAAGGAAAAAATGTGATCCAGCATGCAGACACGGGGATCTTCGCGAAGGTCTGGTGTGGGAGACCCCGGTAATCAGAATATTCAGGGTTAAAATTGCTGGAATTAGGGAAAAGCTTTAAACAAACAGTACATGATCTCTCAGAGCCTGGCTTGTGGGGCTGCAGGATATGGGGACAGATGGGAAACTGAGCGACATGTCTTGACACACGAGCTGCATAGCCTGAGGCAGAACCAGGGGAACCTGGTCCCTGATGGACTGGCTCACATGAGCCGTCAGAAACACATGGTCATCTCCAGTGGAGGCCCCCATAGATAGCAGGGGCTGGAGGACAACAGGGAAGGGACAGGCACTACTGAGGGATCTAGGTATGTGGGGGAAGCGATGGCTGCAGTCCAGTTCATGAGAAAGGATTGTGTTCATGAGAACTGTGAGGAACCAGACTCAGTGAGGACGGCCAGGTTGGAATGGAGCGTTAGCAGCTTTTCTGAGTCCTTTTGGGGGGACAAGATTGTTGTCAAGTAGGAAAGGCTTTGGGGTCTCGAAGCAACTTAAACCGCCATGTAAAAGTGTCTGTAAAGTGAGAGCAGCCGAGAGAGAAGAGGAAGGCAAAGCAGGGGAAGAGGTCTGTCTTGGCGAGCCCAAGGCAAATGGCAAAGGATTTGTGTTGAGCCCAGGTTCCTAAGGTGGGTGAGAAAGAAAGCCAAATTGTCTTAAAGAGATTTTGGAAGGCTTTAAAGCCCAAGAAACAGTTCACAGAAGGCATCCATGTTAACATAACACAGCTGAAGATGATTAAGCCTACCCCAGGGATGGGCAATTATCACCTCCACACCAGGCTAAACAGGCTGCAGATCCCTCCTGCCAGAGGTCAGACTAAGTGTGGGGATGCCACAGCCTCCCCCAGCAGCCGGGTGTGGCAGATGGAAAGGCAACAGCTGCGGCCAGTCACAGCCACAGTGCCAAGCCAGGGCCTCTTAGGACCCAGGTACCCTGCGGGCGCTGCAGAGAGGGGGGGGGGGAGCTCATGCTCGCTTGGTCCTCATAGGGTAGAGCAGCTGAGCAAGCCCCACTGGGTTCATCCAGTGGAGAAACACTTGGGCTCCATGGAAGAGCTCCAGCACGCTGACGTGAAAAGGCTTGGAGAGAACGATTGGGAATTGGGGAACGCTAAGTTAGTGCCTCGTATCCACGCCACGACCCCAGCACTGATCAGTTGAGGAAGAAGTTGATAAAAACGGATGGAATCTTTCAGTGCTGCGTTGGGCCTTAGTTTTGACGTTGGTGTGGCATCTTGGTTTTGAACATCAATAACCACCTGACACGTGCCCGGGACAGATGACAACAGGCTTTCAGGATGTTTCCCCAGGGTTGTCTCTGTAGCCCCACTCTTTGTCATGGGGATGGTGGCTCAGGATGCTGAACTTTTCTGCCCATCCTCAGGAAGAAGGTTTGTTATCCAGACGGCATAATGCCAACCTCTGAGCGTATAGACGGTTTGGGAACCCATGTGAAGGACACGGGAGTGTGTGTGAAAGAGCAAGCTTGGGAAATGAGTTTGCAAAGGGTCCAGAGGCCAGATGTAGCTGGAGTAGTCACGGGAATTTTACGATTGGATAAGCACAGGTACCAAGACGGAGAATTCTGCACCAGCCTGTGCCTGTAAATGCTAAGGAATAAGTAAGGGTATCTTGTGGGAATGGAAAGAGGGGCTCCTGGAAGCCACAAGTTTGTGGGGAATCCCAGTGCTGAGGAAGGGTCAATACAGGCTGCTGTCACTGCTGCGGTTACACTCCAGAGTCAGATGCTGAGGGCTGATTGCTGAAGGTATTACATGCGCTGTTTGTAGAAGTTGGAGAAATTTGGCCCAGACTGAGCTAAAAATGTCAATGTCTCCACCCTTCAAGTTAGCTACTGAAGGTATTACATGCACTGTTTGCAGAAGTTGGAGAAATACGGCCCAGACTGAGCTAAAAATGCCTCTTCCCTTAAAGTTAACTCCAGTTAGTGCCAGTCAGAAGTTGTTACTAAGGTTGCTGGATCCAGCCTGCTTCATGATGGACGTGCCAGGCAAGATACACCAGCTTGTGTTATGGTGCTCGCTCTCTCTGTCTCTCTCTGTCTCTGTCCCTATCTCTGTCTGTCTCTCTCTGTCTCTTTTTGTCTTTCTCTTTCTCTCTTTGTGTATTTATAGACAGTAACAACTTTTGGTTTGGACTTAGGGCCCCCTCAGGGAGATTCACATCAAGTGCTGAAATCTTAGACAAAACCCTGTAACTAGGGAAGTCATAGGCTTCAGCGGAGAAGCAACTGCTACAGCTTTGTTAAATGATGTAGCTGCTAAGATGTGTTCCCCTATTGGTGTTTGCAGTCGTAGGTTTTTACCGCAGTCAGTCTCTTTGGTAGTTACTCATTTTTCTATTTTTTTTCTTTTGGTTTTTTGAGACAGGCTTTCTCTGTGGAACAGTCCTGGCTGTCCTGGAACTCACTCTGTAGACCAGACTGACCTTGAACTCACAGAGATCTGCCTGCCTCTGCCTCCAAGTGCTGGGTTTAAAGGTGTGGGCCACCTCCGCCTGGCTGTTTCCCCTTTTTTTCATCCTTTTCCTCACTTGTGTTTTGTAGTGGGAGGAATACCTTGAGACTTGCCCAGGTTGAGAGCACATGAGGGTTCTTTACTTTGCTGGAGCTGGAGAAGAGTCAGACATCTCTCTCTCCCGTTCCAAGGACCACGGACCCTTGCAGAGGAGAGGGGTGGAAAGAATGGAAGGCCTGGAGGACAAAAGGTTGCAGGGTTGTACGGGACCATCCTCGGAGCCAAACCACCGCCATCTTCAGGTCAGTTGGGTCTCATGCAAAAGACCATCGTGGCTGGGCTTTGTTGGCTGTTGACAATTCTTTATAGAAGGGGATGGGTGGCTGGGCCAGGGACCTTCAGGTCAGTGGCCTGTGTACCCAGCCATTCCTCTCAACCAGATGTATACTAATTCTACCCTGGCTGCACATTACCTCAGGGAAATGCTAGTATATATAAGCTTGGAAGATTAGGAGAACAGATTCCATCTACACAACCACAGGTGGGTACAGGGAAGTCATCTGTGATGGGTGAAGACTGTCCAATGTGTTTTTTTAAAAAAGATTGTATTTATTTATTATGTATACAACATTCTGCCTCCATGTGTGCCTGCAGGCCAGAAGAGGGCACCAGATCTCATTACAGATGGTTGTGAGCTACCATGTGGTTGCTGGGAATTGAACTCAGGTCCTCTGGAAGAACAGTCAGTGCTCTTAACCACTGAGCCATTTCTCCAGCCCCCCAGTATGGTTTCTTTAAGGCCACCCAGGCTTCTGCCTATAATTCTTTACTAGTTGCCAAAAATAGGCCAAATATACTCATTGGTTCCCCACAGTGAACTTGGGTGAAATCATATCTTGGTTTGTCATTGGGACATTAGGAGAAGAGGGGTCCACACTGTTTATGTTTCCCCAGTGAAGGAAGGAATTTTAGCATTACTAGCCTAGAAGGGCCAGCCCTCCCAAAAAAAAGCCCACATTGGAATGTTAAAGACTTTCCATAGTAGAGAAAATACTGGATTTAACATTCAACAAATGCTAAACTCTCAGGGTCCAAGAGTCAGCCACTCAAACACTAGCCTGAGGGATGTTTATAAAAAATGCATTTTGGGGCTAGACTGCTGGTGACTTCCAGCCAGAGCAAGGCCAGAGCTTATGCTAGGTGCTTGGTGCTAGGTGTGTGTGCATCTTTAATGTGCGTGACAGCTGTCTTCTTGTCCTCCAGCCTTCTATCAGCCTTCTATCCCCTTGGATGGGGACAAACTACCTTCTGGAGAGGGAGTGGGTGTTGTTCGGCATGCAGAAACAGGTAGGGGACAGGGCAAAGAATGCCATCAGCCTGGGGAGGGCTGGTTATTGTCAAGTGTCTTGCAGGTCTGTCTCCATCAAAGGAGTCTTAACTTCCTCTCAGTGCTTCCTAAAGGCAGTGCTGACTGGATCAGGGAGCCCAGAGGAGATTTCCAGCTTAAAAAGGGAAGATGTTTTTAGATTCCTACTATTCTCCAGTGTAGTGGCTACAGAAGGGGCAGGAATGAGTATCTTGGTACCAGTGGTAATGAAAGCCAAGGATGGTACTTGGTCCTTTGCCCTGCTCATATCAAGAACAACAGGTCTAAAATATTACCAAGGAAGATGTGACCCCTGCCCCTCCGCTTCCTCCTTGCAGCCTAGGCTCAGACAGAGCACTCAGAGGGAACCATGTCAAGGTTGCAGGATGAGATTCCAGTGGCCTCTGTTTTTCTGAGAGAAGCTGGGCTTAGTGAAAGTCACCATGCCAAGGCAGGCTGTGTGGCCAGCAAGCGTCCTGCCCTTGCAGGAATGCAGTTGAGACCTGCATTGATCACCTTGGGCTTGGCACGCAGGGCAAAGGGATCTTGATTTCAGGTGTGAGGAAGGGTTTGCATGTGAGCAGCCGCCTGACCTCTGCGGTTCCCTTGAATCCAGAGTTCCTTGGCAGAGAGAAACACACGCAGTGCTCTGAGTGGCGCACAAGGTTACCGAGGACGGAGCAGAAACCCGAATATAGCCGGTGGGAGGAAGGCGGCAGCTGGGAGGAGAAAGTAGGTCCTTGGAACAAATGAGGTGGGGCACGAAATTAACGAGGCTGGAGAGGGCTGAGCTCAGGGACTCATTTTTAAAAACTGTCTCTTAGCAAGAAAAACGAGGGAAAGGAATTTGGATGTTGGGAAGATAATAGAGGCTGGGAAGGTAGCTCTCTGGCTGGCCTTTTGCAGAACAAGGGAGAGATGCAGATCAGTGGTCTAGGGTGACCCCTGTTTGCCAGGCAAGGCACACAGACCTTGATTGATACAATGATGGGATGGGGGCAGAAAGCAGGGTGAACTCCTGCCCACATCTGGCAGGATGGCTTCCTCTGGTCCAGCCCTTTCATTTAACTATTGTGCTTGCCAAGCACTGTGGTCTGTGTCTCTTGTCCCCACCCTCACCTCTGACCTGCTAGTTTTTTTCATTTAGCTCCCATCTTTCTGGTCCCATCCCAAAGACTTAGGGGAGTCCTCTTCTCTCCAGAAACAGGCTCAGAGTCCACCCTGCTGCTCCTGTCCTGAAAATTTACTGGTCATGCCACCCACTAGGCATCTAGAGCAGGCACATGTTCTTAGGAGCCTAGATGTCTGTACAGGCAAGCTCATCCTACCCGATGCTAAGGGTTCTTTTTGCCTGGTCACTCTATGTTAGAATGGTGGAGAGTGGGGCAGCCTGTGCCACTCCCTGGGTGACTATTAGCACATACTCTTGCCTTAGGTCTCTTGGATCCTGTCTACCGTTCTGACTCAGGGCAGGTAGCCCTCCCTGCTCATGCCGTTCTTGCTATTGGTTTGGGGCTCTTTGGGGACAGATGTTCTGTAGCATTCTTTTAGGGGATGCTCCAGGCCCTGGTCTGATGCTGGGAGCTAGAGGGTATGCAGGATAGATAGATACATGCACGCATGCATACTTGTATTATAGCTGGGGCTGAGGCATCCGGTGTCGTCTTGGCGTGATTCTATCCTTCACTGGATGGGGAAAGTGGAGGGAGAGGAAGGAAACATGGGAGGTAGAGGGAACAACATACTCCTGGCTCAGATGGAGCCATCGGTCCCCTGCAGCAGTGTAAGATCTCCTTCTTGCTTCTCTTTGCCACTCGGGAAGAGGCCGCTTGGCTCTCAGCCAGATCTTATGTTTGGGAGGCAAGTCAGAGTCCATCTTGGATTGAAGGAGGTGGGGGTGGGGCTGCCCTCGAACTTTAGGGTCCTGCTCAGCTGATTGTGGCTCAAAAGTCTTTGTTCGTCAACATTTGCTCCCGAGTGTCACAGACACTAAGGGTTCTCTTGCTTTATTCAGGTAGAGATTGTCAACCGAGAATAGTCCCTCAGCAGCTGGAGTGTCAGTGGCGCCTGGACCGTGTGTGCAAACCCCAAAGTCTGTTGCTCTAAGTCACCACCACTGGCACTTACAACTCTGGTTTTACCCAGAGGCTCAACGCTCTAGGTATTCAGGCCAGGGACCTTGGGGCGAGTACTGCAGCCCCCGAGATCTTATGTTGCTGGGCCCCTTGGTGCAGGTTTCTTAGCAGCTGTTTGGAGGCCCGATCTCATTGTCTTAGCAGTTTCTCCCCTTCCTCCACCTCTGCTGTCTGTAGTTTCTGCCCTGACCACTTTTGAACTCTGCAGCTGTCTTCCTTCTGCCGTTACTGCCGAGGTAGAACTCTCTAGGGTCTTATCCTCTCTTTCTGAACCAGCCCAGCCTGCTCCACCTACGACAAAGATCACCAGTCAGCAAAACACCGGCCAAGAGAACCCTTTACTGGGCTTCGCGTCCCCAACACTGTAAGTGGAGTAATGTATAGGACAGGAGCCTCCCAGGCTAACCCTGTAACTGTGGAAAACAGCCTCTCTATGTATCTAGAAGAGAGGTGTCATGCCTTTTCATGACATTGTCATCCCACCAATCAGCCTTGTTTGTGTGTGCACACATGGCTTCTAGTGCCGCCAACCCAAGCCTCACATGAACACCAGTTAGTTTTTGCTGACTCACTAAAATGCTCCCCTCCCTTGCAGTGAGAACAGCTGTGGGATGGCAGGGTTACCTAGACTCCATCAGGGCTTCTAGCTGCACAAGCTGTTGGGAACAGTCACGACTAAGGCAGGGCTTTGTGAAGTAGCTGGGACTTCAGAGGCTGCCATGGTTGGGGAGCAGAGCTTCCTCTGACTGACTATGAAGTGTTAGCTGAAGCTGAGTTGTTGCCATGACAGGCTGACTGGCAAAGAAGAGGCTGCCTGGTCGACAGTTTCCTGTACAAGGTACCTGGGCACAAAGGGAGAGTTAGTGGTTATACTGAGCCGACAACCACCCCACTCACTCCTGGTAGCTTTGGCCTGTTTAAAACACTGAAGGGCCCTGCGACTGTAGCTCAGTTGGGAGAGTGCTTGCATACAATGCCCAAAGCCCAGCTTGGATCCCTAGCAACAAAACGCAACAAAACAGGCATGGTAGCATACATCTATAATCCTAACAGGAGGTAGACGCTGGAGGACCTAGGAGTTCAATGTCATCCTTGGCTACATAGCAAACTTGAGGCCAGTCTGAGCTACAGGAGACCCATCTCAGAAAAAGAACAGCAGAGTCCAGAGATGTAGCTTGGTTGGCAGAGTCCTTGCCCAGAAAAAAATGCTTGTTTGATTGGCAGTATTGCCCAAAGCAGGATGGGGTGCATGCCTATATCCCCAGCACTTGAGAGATGGAGATAAGAGAACCAACATCAAGGTCATCCTCAGCTATACAGTGAGTTCAAGGTCATCCCCAGCTATTCAGCGAGTTCAAGGTCATCCCCAGCTATGCAGTGAGTTCAAGGTCAACTTCAGCTATACAGTGAGTTTAAGGTCAGCCTGAGAAGCATTATCTCAGCTGAGCATGATGGCCCACATCCCTAATCCCAGCACTTGGGAGTCACAGGCCAGCCTGGCCTATTTAATGAGTTCTAGGTGAGCCAAGGCTATACAGTGAGACCCTGTCTCAAGCAGCAAAACAAAACAAAACAAAAAACCCTCAAAGATACTATCTCAAAAAGGAAAAAAAAGTGCATATAACAAAGACTTAGTAGATTCACATTTGTTTTTGTTTGTTTTGGATAGTATCTCTTATAGCCCAGGCTAGCCTCAAAATCTCTGTGTAGCCAAGGATAACCTCAAACTCCCCCCACCTCCTGTCATTCAAATGCTGGTGTTGCTGATGCATGGTACCATGTCTGCCTTTTTAACATTCTT